ACACTAAACTTCTACGGATAGTTTTACCATAGTAGTTCTCTGGTGTAGTCTCAAGTCTACGAGACAGTCAACTTCATGTGATTAGCTCTTCCACTTGGTGTGTGTCGCGTTGGCTGGAAGAGTAGCTTTAGCGTTCGTCTCGATGAAGGGCGTGGGTTCAATCCCCTCGATGGGTCAGTTTTACCATCCTAACTCCGCAGCCAACACTTCTCCTCCATCTTATCGGTGACTAGTAACTTGGCTCTATCCTCGTTGGTGGTCAGTCGTCTTCTTCTCCTTCGCCCTTGTCGTCGTATCGGTGTTGTTGTTGGTGTTGTTGCTACTACTGGTTGTAACGGTGTGGTCCTTATTGTCGAGTCTTGTTGTAGGCGTCCGTTCATATCTCCCTAACGTCCGGGATCTCCCCCTACTCCTCCTCCTCTTTCTTCGCCGTTTCACCACCACCATCACCACTCGCGTATAATCATGGATTACGGAGTAACATCTGAGGACGTTGACTACGACGAGACGGCGGCAGCAGCAGCGGTAGTAGCAGCTTCCTCTCCACATCATCAACAGGGGGGAGGGCCAACTGCTACGGCTACTACTTCCACGACTACATTCCAACCACCGCCGGATGACCGAGTTGATGATGATGACGACGAAGATGAGAGTATTGGTGAAGAAGAAGAAGAAGAAGAAGATGAGGGCTATAGCGCGGATGAGCAGCAAGACTCCCCAAAGTCCGTTCCGGACGATAAGGAACCTCCGTCACAAAAGCCAGTGAGGGCCCGTGAGGATCCACCTAGTGAGAGAAGAAGCAACAGTAAGAGGCGTCGAGATGATGGTGACCGAAGCAACGAACCAGCTCGGAGATGGTCTGGTGGTAATCGTGTTGGACAGTCTCAGTCATCACAGGAGTATTTGCCATGTCGGTGCTTGGTTCCTGATGATATTGCAGGTAGGGATAGGAGTTGAGAGAAGAGTGGTATGGGAATGGTCACGTTGTTAGGGCATATCATTGGAGTGCGCGGTACTGGTCTCCACAGGCTTCAGAAGTTGAGTGGAGCTAACGTTCACGTGTCGAAGCCAAGCGAAACGCCCAAGTCATTGGTGGATCGAGTTGTGACTTTTATAGGTACTATTTGCTATCACGGTTTTCTCCTCAATGTTATACTGTAGGTAACCCCCAGCAAGTTGATACTGCTGTGTACAAGTTGTTGGATATGCTGCGACGCGATAAACCGCAAAGTCGTGGGATATTCGTATTGCTGATACCGGAGGTAGGGAGAATCTTGAGGTTGAGCTGCTTGGATACGGAGTATGTCAGGTTACGTCGTTTGCGTTCCTGGATGGGAGAGGTCAACGGCTGAGAGCCTTGGAAGCAGATTTTCACTGCGAGGTTACGGTGAGTGTTGGACGCGGGTTTGATCCCACCGAGCAGCATTTCAATAATATATGCAGATCGCCAGAGCGCCTATTGAAGGCATGAAAGTGAGACCCATCATCATCAAGGGGTCCGATGAGGCCACAGCAAGCGTCATAAGCAAGCTTAGAAACATGGTACTGACGGCCGGTGTATTTTTTATAGTTTTATGAAGGCTGATTGCGTCAGGTTGAAGACGTTGTCCGTTCTAAACGTATTCCTTTCGAGGAGGCGAGTGCTCTTGTGATGGGTGGTAAGTCGATGGTTTCACTACTGATGTGGATGATTGGTCTGATCGGTGTTGGAGGAATACACGTTCGCTCTCCTCAGCTGAGCTCAGGAGTTTCCCAAGCTAATTATTGAAGTTTATATACAAATTGGGGTGGAGATGTAGAAAAACCAATAATATTTTCCCGAAATTTCATCAGAATTTCCATATTGTCGCCAGTACTTGTAGTTGATCATGTGTATATTTTCCTACATTGTGTGTGTCTAGGTGCGGACCGACAGAGTGAGCGGGGCACACCTCCACCACCTCCCCCGCCGCCTCCTCCGCCGGCGGCGGAGGGGGATGGGAGACCTGGAGAGGTTGTTGTACCCTGGGTACCGGGTCTGGAGAAGATACCACGCGATCAGGTGGGTGATATTATAAGAGTTGTGGGAAGTGTGGTATGGATTGTTGAAGCGAAGTTGTAGCCCTTTGCTCTGCCGAGCCATTGATCATAGCGCAAAAATGGATAGGCGGAACAATAGATTAGAAAGCGTCCGTAGTTTGGATGTAATTCATGATGATCATGAGCATCCGAAACGGTAAAGCTTTCATGGAAGATATGTAGACGCCATCACCATGATGTTATATGTATATCGCTTCGGTCATGTGTGACACAATGCGTCACAGGCTGCTGTGTTGTGGTACTCAGGACTCGGGATCTCCTGTTCTGTTGGTCGTTGATCGACGCTATTCGGCGTTCATCATTGGTAAGAATGGTAAATCTATCACGGAGATCGAGCATTGCAGTGGAGCTAGAGTGCAGTTTGAGAAGGCCGATCAGTTCCCTCCTAACCCGAAGGTAAAATTTATGGAAGTTGAAGGAGGGATGGTCGTTCTAGTTGGTGCCGAATCGTAATGAGGTTATGGTACTGAGGGGGACAATGGCTGAGAAGTCGAGGGGGATGGTGAGGATTATGGAAGTACTTGATGTGAAGGATGACAGGGTAATGAGGGATGGGTATTTCTTCACGCGCCACGAAATATCGTTGTGGGGAGTTCGAGGGCGATCAGCGGTGATATCAAATTCCACGGTAAATTTAGTGGAACCGTTCCACCCGTGGGGCTCGTCCATTCCTATTGGTAGAGGGATGCTGATTTTAGTACACGGAGCTCCTGATCCCTGCAAACAAGACACGTAATGTTATTGGACGTGGAGGTGATACTATCAACTGGATATGCAAGACTACTGGTAAGGGCAGAAGGGCACTCGAAATATGGGCTTCGTGGTGGGACTTTTTGGAGTATCACCCTCTGGGCTTTCCGCTTTGCGGAGAAGAAAGTTAGCTTATGAAGGCTCATCTATTTTCCTAAAGGCTCTGTATGGTATCAGCGTGACAACATACTTTAGAAAGAATGTTGAAATGTGTTTAGATATTCATACAAGTCTCATTGTAATTCGTACGTATACGGTAGATGTATGGTATATATAGTGTGAATATGTATAGTTTATCGATAGTATGATTGCAGGGTCGTCGTTGATTTTCTTGTGGTTTTTACATGAGATTTGGAGTAGTGATATTTTTCGACTGTATCAGGATGCAACGTCCAAGTTCAAAAGGGCGAGTCTAACGATATTCCTACCCGGTTCGTTACCTTTGATGGGCCACTGGATAAGAGGGTAGGTTCGGGGGCCCTGTGGAGCGGCACTGACGGGGCTGTGTAGGTTAAAGCTGCGTTGATGGTGCTGGTCGCTATAGAGTTGAGTTTTATGCCGGCCGCGCCTCCGTCGCCAGAAGAGGGTAGAGGACGGGAGCCGGAAGAGGTGACTATTGGTAGAAGAGAACAGCGTATGGGGGAGAAGGAGTATAGTCCTGAATCTAAGAGGGCTAGGCATCATCATCACCATCAACAACAACAACAGCAAGAATATCAATCCCACGGTCGGTCGATGGAGAGCCCTAGGGTAGGAAGTAGTGGTCGTGGAGTTGTTGAGGAGTAGTTGAGTGATTGGTATCAGGGTCATGGACGCGCCTCCCATAGTTATGAAGGGGCGAGTGAGTCGTCGTCGGCCTACCGACAGAGGGATAGCGCCGCCGTGGCGTTGGGGATGGCAGCTGATAGGCTAGGTAAGGGGGAGGAGGAGGAGGGAGGAGTTGTGGATGGTGTGGTAGGTTCTGATATCGATCATGACGAAGCATCGTACTTTTCGGTTGTTGTGGGACGCAATACGATTAACTCGTGGGTAAAGGCAGGCTTCTTGGATGAACTGTCTAGGCGCAGTGGAGCTCATGTGGAGATTGGCAAAGACGTAATAAAGGGTTGCTGGGCGAAGGGCGACCTGTGAGACGAGTTTTGAAGGGCTGTTCATGTTGGGTGTATGTGGCATGTTGTCTTGGAACAGCACTATTCGTTGGTGAGGTTGGCATGATACTTCGAGGCTATGTTAGATTGAAAACTCATCGTCAATCGCTTTTGAGTCTAAAGTTTCCTGACGAACTGCGTCGTTGAGGAGTCATAAGTTTGCAAGAATTGTAGTAGAGTATTTGCTCAGGTGCCGCAAACTATGGATCGCCAGCTGCTGTTGAGTGGGACTATTCTACAAAACTCCCTCGCGTGTTTATACATTCAAGCGAAGCTTCTCTCTGGGTAGTGACATTTTTTCTGTTCGACCAACGATGGATGAGAGAAGTATACATTTAATAGAGGTAGGTAGTTTAGCTGTAGTTATCGCTCCTGGAGTCTACCTCTTTAGTGGGCGCCATCGTCATCATCATCATCATCAGTGTGGGATTGATAGTAGTAGCGTACACTGCTGATCTTAGCGATTCGATCCAATGTTGTCCATTTCCTACTACCTGCTAGTTATGTATTGTGTTATAGTGTTCAAAGGAATGGTCAGCTAGATGTGTTGGTGACAATATGGAAATTTTGGGCAACTTTTGTTGGTTTCTGTACACTTCTACCCGAGTTCGTATGTATACTTCTATGTGAGGCAACTTCTGAATTCAGCCAAGGAGAGCGAACATTTATTGCAACAGTGATAATAACAGTCGTTCTGCACTTCTCTCGTTCCTTACCCTTATCAACTTTGAGGTTTTCTTCCCCGCGAGTAGAATAGTAGAGGTGTGTACATCAGCCATATTATAATGACTGTCTTGTTACGGCGGTTGGCGATCCGTCGGGTTGTGTCGGCTCATCAACGGTGTTTCTCGACCGCTGGGAAGAAGGACCCGTACAATGTAATGGGGTTGTCACCCGCTGCATCGCAGAAAGAGATTAAGGAGAAGTTTCGAGAGCTTGCGAAAAAGTGAGGTCTTTATTGTGGGGGAATCGTTTAGATAAACCCACTGAAGTGAAATGGTGGCGATCGGCTGCGAGAGTTATCAGAGTTTGAAATTAAATCAGCAAGTGGATGAGTGTGTTCGGAACTTCGAAAGACTCTATGAGTTGTCGCTCTCGACGTTTCGCAGTGGAAGTCTACTCAAACGAGCGAAGACTGTGCTCGCGATGTGCTCGGCTATTGTCATGGTCTCTGTGTGAATTACAACGGTGGTCATTTAGAAGCTCGAGTGATTTCGTATTCGACCGCCCAGCATCACAGAACTGGGTTGGCGTACTGTTGGGAGCTACCGAGGTATCTAATCCGCCCATTGGGTGATTGTTTAGGTATCATCCAGATCGGAATCCTAACGATCCAGAAGCTCAGGGTCGAATGGCGACTTTGACGGACGCCTATGCGATCCTGACAGACCCTAAGAAAAGGTCGATTTTGGATCGAGAGCAGCGTGAGATGAGGAATGGTAGTAGCACGTTTCTCTCGGTGCCGTATCTTATAATCGCGGGCAGGTTCCGCTGGGAGTGGTACGACAAGTAGCGGAGGGTCGGCTAGTAATGCGGGGGATTGGCATCATGATCCTAGCCAGATGTTCAGCGAGTTTTCTAAAGTAGGCTAAGTCTTGGCTCTCTCAAAGGGTTGGTAGTCGCGTGTGAATATATGTAGAGTATTATGTTGGAATAACGTGTGTACTCGCGAACCCCCTCGTGAAGAACAGCGTGTGAAATTACAGTTGTAGATTGATTCACTGACTGTACTGCATGGGTCTGACTCGGGTCTCTAAGGAACGTGATCAGCAATTATAATCCGATTTGGGGGGCTTTTGGGCAGTGTTGGAATATATGTTCGTTTTCCTCAGCTGGGTCTGGCATTTTCCTCAACAATTATAGAATTCACATAGAAGTTCGTGTAGAAATGTACAGAAACCACCGGAAATTTTCCCAGAAGTTCTATATTGTCACCAACGCTTGTGGTTAACTACGTGCATATTTTCGGTGGTTAGACTGATGTGACAGAAATGTGCGTCAGGTCTTCGGTCGTCAAGCGAAGTATCGGCAAGCCGGGCAGGTTTCTCAGCGGGGAGATGATATTACCACGGAAATCGAAGTGAGAGGTGACTCGTGTGTCCATTAGTCGTTAAGGTGCTCCTTCTTGGTAGGTTTCCTTCATGGAAGCGATGCGTGGTAGCACAAGGACAGTAGCACTATCGTGCCGGCAGGGCTGTGATACCTGCAATGGTAGTGGAGCGGCTCCAGGCACTGGCTGGACGATGTACTCACTATGACCCTCTCTGGAATTGCATGTTTCCACTCCGTTTCTTCCCTCAATGTCGCGATGCATGGAGTGTGCGGCTCATGATGTGAGTGAGTGGTGACCTCAGGTGCCGGCAATGCAAGGGCACGGGGACGGTGAGAGTCGAAAGAGGGATCATGACTATGGGTATGAGGGTTCGTCATACAGGGCGATTCAAAGTTAGGATCCACCTCTTGTAATTTCGTGGCGCGTGGGAATATTGAACGATATGAGGTACCAATATGAAGCTTTCGAGGAGCTCTTTCCAATGATAGTTCTAACGAGACATCCCTATACTCTCTATACTCGACGACTTATGATGTTACGAATTTCATAGCGTAACTTCATATCATGACGGAACTGTGTATGAGGAAAGTGCTGGTAGATTCTATTCCTGTGCCACGGAGTTACAGGAGGTGGACCATTGTTCATCCCCCTGTATCACCTTGGGCGACCACAGTATCGCTCCGCCCTGATCTCTAAGAGAATACCTCTTTATGATTTCCTCAATGGTCATGTACTGGGTTCATCAGGTATGCCATGCAATACGTGCTCGGGATCAGGACAAACCTTAGACCATCCCTGCCGGAGTTGTAGAGGGGAAGGCGCTATGGTGCGTCGGAAGGATGTAGTGTCGGGGAGATTTTTTGGGCCCGACCTTGCGAGAATAAGGGCTCATCACAAGTACCAGAGTTCTTTCTCAGTATGGCTTCATCCCGCATAACACATAACAGGTCGCTCGCTCCGGAATAATTTACACTAATTTCGTCGGTACTGGCTTGTCGCGAAATTTCGACCCAAAGTGTTCGTTGGAGTTTGGCGGAAAGCCAAGCCTTCTCAACTTTTGTTGAGGCCACAGGAGCAAAGAGTCGTGTCGCTCAGTTGCCGTGGTGACTTGAATTATCGATATACTGCGGTTGTTGGAAGGTCCTAGTCTCGGTGCCTGCGGGTGCACGCCAGTTCACGGAGTTGAGACTGCCTGGATTGGGTCACTGCGGTTTGCGGGGAGGAAGGAACGGGGACTTGTTCGTGACAATTAAAGTGAAGGAGCATGAGCGGTTCAGGCGAGTTGACGAAGATGTAATGAAGCTGGGCACTTGTGATGATGATTTACCCTACTACTACTCCCCCAGGTCCATTTGACTGTCCCGGTCACACTCTCGCAAGCTCTCCTTGGTGGCACAGTTGAGATCCCCAGTCTAACCTCGGAGAAAGATATCATTAGACTACAGATACCTCCGAACACTTTACCAGGTCGGTACGGTAGGGCACGCTACAGTTGTGAATATACCTCTGGAGCTTCGAGATGGCTTTTATTGTGCAGGCAACAGTCGCATTATTCGCGGGAAGGGACCTCCGAAGCTCAGTGCAGGTGAATAACTTGGTTCTGTATCTGATTTTCCATGAACCCTTTGTTGCTGATAATCAGTTGTTGATGGGTAGGCTCCTCGACCGACTCCTCCTCGAACCCAAGGGGTAACCTTGTTCTGCATTTCTCGCTTTCGTTGCCCGAGAGGCTAACTCCGAGGCAGGAGGCGCTGATCAGGGAGTTTGATGATATTGAAAGGGAGTCTAAGGAGAAACGAAGCTCTAGAAATAGCGATGAGGTGAACCGTGTGATTTCGCCTCTTCACTGTGAGAAGGTATTTACTTGTTTCCATCGTGACCCTCTTTCGATTACTAAGCTATGTGAGCATATGAACGGTCGAGTATCTACAAGGCTGCGCCTAAATCTCTGTGTGAATTTGGTTCGGTGGGGAAACCACTTTTCGCCGCATGGAAAGTTCAGAAATAATCTATTCTATGTCGTAGTGTATTGGTGGAATCCCATTCAGGGTGCGACTGAGAAGAGAAGTGCATCAGCAACAGCAGAGTGAGATTCGATTGATTCATGCAGCACAAGTGTTGTGTCAAATCATGTTTCTTGTTCCCAGTTTCTGATACATTGTCGACCTTTTTGGTGTTGTCATCGATCAGCATGCCGGAGGCAGAAATGAGTTGTTGTCGTCAGGTAACTCAATTATTGTAATTTGGCTTGTTTGAGTAGTCCACTGCAGCACTGTTAAGGGTACGGTAATACCGTAACGGTATCAACCTGGGTACCTACTCGAGTCTAGTTCTGGGTAACGCTGAACAAGGCGACAACTTCAGAGACTCTATGACGGTCATTGAGTCTCTGAGGTTGTTCAAGCCGGGACTCGGTCACCGAGTCAGAGTTTACGTATTTCCGACTCGCTCAACGAGTATTCGTTGCCGAGGAAAATGATCCCTCAGAGATCTAACTCCAATCTCGCAGAGGGATTCAGTGAGCGGATTCCTGGATCTAATACTCGTCAATGACGAATCATCTTGCTCGCAGCCCAACTTATGTCGGTAAGGTACTCATCGATGGGCCTTCACAGCAGGCTGAGTACAGTTCGGTGAGCCACTTGGTGGTTATTGTGTTGGTCTGGCTCAAATGTGATGACTCAATCCTTGTCTGATAGGTTTCATCCGGTGGTACAATATGACCGGTCGATCATTTGAGGCACTGAATTCAGGGTTGTTGGATCTGGAAAGTCAGGAAATTCTCGCTTGCGGAAATTCCCGAAATTTCTAACATGAGAACCAATGCGAGGAAATGGATTACTGAAATTTAATGAAATCACGGAAATTTGGAGAACATCAAGGAAATTTCTCCGTGGAATGATCAGACGTGGAATTTCAATGGGAAATCCCCATACTTCTATTCAGGAATCTTCCCTCATGATCAGCACGACCGACCCCACCGAGTGTGCCTACATCACCACCGACTCGGTGGCGCCGAGCTCCTCGGCCGTTTCTTCGCTGATTAGGTTGATAAGAGGGAAGACAAAACTTCCACAGAGCCGATGCATTTCTTTACGTCTTTTGTACTAGCAATGACGGGTAGCGGGGTGCTCTCCAGAGCTGGGTATCGCCGGACTCCTCACGCACAGCGAAGTACTCGTTATTTTCGACGATCGAATGAATTTCACAGCAATTTTGATGTGAATTCGGACTTCAGAAACGGCGTTGCGATTTCATTGGAATCGACCCGTCTTTGAAAAATTGAAAAGTTGAAAAATTCAACTTTTAACTCTCAAATTATGGAATAGCAGGTCGAGCATCTCACAAGTTACCTAGGATCAGTGGTTCGGTGCCACAAATCGGAATCAACAGTTGATTTATTATTAATACTTTCAAGCTAGGTGGATATAATCGTGCGAGAAAAATCACATTTCAAACTTCTTTCTCAAATTCCTATTACATACTCGCATACTTCCAGCGTATGTCACTCTTATGCGTCGCTTCCCGCCTATCAATTCTAAACGCCTCTTAACACTCCAATTTTTCTCATTTCAATGCATCCCTTGACCTACATCGTGTGTTATTTTATCACGTTTTCGCGCACTTCCTGCAGTTAGGCGATTCGTGTGTTCACGGAGTTCGTGCAGATTTACAATCATCCGACGGTTACCATAATCTAACGTGCACCATCCTCCCATATGGTCTAGCGCCTCAACGTGGCGTGGGAGTGATACTATTTTGGAGTATGCGAAGCTCGACCGCTTATACCGAACTCGACATTCACCCAACGGGTGGTGAGTCACCACTGGTGACTGAGTGGCGGTGATTTTCCCTTATCCCCCTCCTTTTTCTTTGTTGGGCTATCCGCACATCTCCTCCAGTAGGGTCCCTCATACTCGTCATCACCCCCCGGCGTTATGGCAAGCGTCCCCATCGATTTACCGTGGTATCCTACAACATCAATGGCTAATTTGGCAGCAAGTTGGAAGTGGGTCGTTACATGCCTCTTGCTCGACCGCATGTACTCTGCCTTCACGAGATATTCCACACCGAATCCGCCCATCTACGCTTCCCTGGCTAATAGCTAGGGGAAGTGATATCGTCGAAGTGA